ATGTATTGCCGAGTGTGATACTCTTCCCTCTTAGTTATTTTTTGGGCGAGTAAAGGCTGAAAGGCAGGATGCTGAAAATAAAGCAAGGCAATGAAAAGAAATCCTTAAAGGAGGAAAGCATTTGCCAGGGCCTGGGGAGAAACGCTGTTCTTTCAGGAGCAAAATAAAGTGGTAAGAGAGAGGTAGAGGGATCTCTGACTTCATCATAAAACTTCTGGTTGCCTGTATGAGACAGTGTCAAGGAGAAGAGGAAACCTCTCGTGTTCTTTATTTGTGCAAAGGGCTGGTGTGGTTTTCCAAAGGAAAAACTTTCTCCCAGGTAATGGGCGATGGGACGAGGGGAAACGGCCTCAAGTTGTGCCAGGGGAGGTTTAAATTGGACATTGGGAAAAATTCCTTCCCCAAAAGGACTGTCAGGCACTGGAAGGGGCTGCCCAGGGAAGGGGTCGAGTCCCCAGCCCTGGGGGGATTTAACAGCCGGGCAGAGGCGGTGCTGAGGGCCGGGGTTTGGGGGTGGGATGGCAGGGGTAGGGGAAGGGTTGGGCTGGGGGAGCTTAAAGGGCTTTGCCAACCTAAATGATTCTATGAAAAGTGCATCTTGGGAAGCCCAAAGTGATGTTGTGGTCGCTCCCATTTTCACACTGCTGTGTACTTACTTGGGTCCGCCGATGTAAAATCTGTTCTACCTTTGCTTGCCACTTCACACATTTATTTTCACTTCAATTTCTGAAGCAGTGACATTGTGCACTGTATTTTGAGTGCTAATGTTGATTGAAGTTCCCCCTGAAAGGATGTGCACTTGAACTGTCAAGAGAGTGAGTTATTGACAGCAGGTAGAAGTACTTTTTGTGTCAAGGCTTTGTCAAGTCATTGTTGTAAAACCTACTTTGCTGAATACCAATAATTCCTGCTTTCAAAAGATACTCTGTTCCAGCACCATTTTAGAATAATATTTAATACTTAGAGTCCTTTCCCTAATAGGCAAATGTAAGGTAAGTGAATAAGGGTACTTTACACTGGGTTGGTCCATTTGGGGGGCTCCTGCGCACGTATTTGCAGCCCAGGATAAAGGGAAGAACTCTTTTCATTCCTTTACCCTGATGCTGAGAGAATCTCAATGTGAGAGTTTGTTTAATACCATGTCTTTTATAACTGCTTATTCAGCACATGTTCCGTAATAAAGATGTTTAATAACTCACAGCTGTGGATTTTTTTTTCCAAAGGATGTTTCCTTTTTTTCCATGAAAGCATGCTTTAAATCAAATAATTTTATATTGATCTTAAGATTTTAAAGAATCTAAATATATGTTCATTAAGCAAAGCAGCTTACTGTTCTCAAAATCACTTTCACCATTGGAGGAAGCCTGAAATATTGCACCCTCTTTATTTATTTTGCACCAGTACTTTTTTTTTTCTTCTTCTTATGTCAAAATGCTGTGTAAGTAGAATTCCCCTGTTTTGCTTTTTGAAAGGCTAACGTGACCAAGGCCACACCGCTGGGTGTGCAGGATTTGACTAAGGCCTTTTGTTACAGGTAATTACCATCTGAGGCCATGAGATGGTTGAGTATGGAGGGCGAGTTGAACACTGAGGAATTGCCACCTAAAGCAATTTATTGGGGATCCGGAATCGTTATTTGCTTTCCAAGAGAGATTCAGATTCCACTGACATTGTTTTTGGTTACAAAATAAATTTTAAAATTAGTTCCTCATCCAATAGGAAGATTGAAAATCGCTGTGCTGTCTGCTTTGAGGCTGTATAATATTTTTAGCACTTTCTGCTTGATCACTGCAACAGAAGTAATTTCATTTCAGTCTTCTCAGACAACGAAAAGAATGTAATTGTTTTGTCTGAAAAACTTGTCCAACTTTGCAGACGTCGGAAACGCTTTATTGTTCTAGGGATGCACAAAGAGAGCGTCCAAGGAAAATGAATGAAGTGTCATCTCATGGAGGGGAACTTTGTAAAAAAGATCTGCTCTGTTAAAAAAGCTGGCTGGAGACAGCGGGGATGGTTGGGGTAAAAAGTAAGCAGTGGTAGAAATAGGTTTGTTGAATCTTGTTATTTCTCTGGACTTGCAACAGTAGTAAATCTAGGGGAAAAATTACCGTGTTAAAAATGCAAGAAGTTATCGGGGTTTAATTACTTTACAGAAACAAAACCTGCAGAGCGGATAACTTGTAATATCCAACTGCTTCCTTAGCAAGTCGACTGCATGGCTTGTTTAATTTGGGGCTGTTATAATCTTACCGTACGTGAAAACAGCCAGAGTAGCGGTTGGGTCCAGCGATGACCTTGCCAGATCTGAAGGAGCTATATGTTTGTGTTCCGTGTAAGGAAGCATCATGGGTTCTTGTTTTGGGAACTATACCTGCATTCGTACTACAAATGCATCTCCTACGAATTTTCATTCAAATGCATCTCATACGTAAGGCACTCCAATGTAGTATTGGAGTAACGGGTTTTTAAATTTGGATTTAACAGTTTAGCTAGCGGAATGAGCAAATTCTGGAATAGCCGGCCAAAGTCTGCCCCAATTCTTCCCCTTTAGGGGTCCCAATTGTATTTCCTGGGGCTGTGGGATACGGTAAGGCTTGCACTTGGTCCAGGATGTGTAATATGAAGAATAAGACCATTTGTACAGTTCAAGAAGGAACATTCAGCATTGAGTAAGTAAAGGCAGGGGATGTAAAGGAGGAGAAGGTACAGATGCACCAAATGGTACAGATGCACCAAATGGAAAGGTTTGCAGCAGGGCTTTGTCCGGGTCCTGCAGTCCTTGGGAAGGGATGCCGTGTCTCCCATTTTCATGGTCCTGGCTCCGTTCTTCATTGGAACTTGGGTCTTTAACAGCTTGCACCAGCTGAGATGGGTGGTGTTTCTTACCAGGAATCTTTTAACATGTGTTGTTGCTTTTTTCTTTTAAATTCAGGTTGTGAAAGGCCTTACCTATTTATGGAGTCTAAAGATTTTACACAGAGGTGAGTAACAGATGTTTTCCGTTCTCCGATGAAATACCATATTATTATATTTTAGCAACCCTTCCTGCAGAGACAGTAGACCCTACTAACACCTGGTTTGATTCCAGTGGAGTAGTGCAGGATGAATCTTGCTCATTAGCCTTGTGGATTTTCTGATAAAATATTCTTACTGCTGTTCTCTTTTACTGCCCTCCCTCCCCCCCTACAAAGAAAACGACTAAAGAGAGAAATGACTTTTACAGAGATTTAGATGCTTAGGGTTACAGACGGGTGCCCAGTGGAAAAAACCAGCAAGGAAAATCAGATGTTTGATTAGTATGGAAAACAGAAGACAGATAATGAATTTTCTTATGTACTTCAGAAATCTCACGTAACAGCCACAAACGTCGCTAGAGGCTCCAGTCTCTAAAATTGTGGCCCACTGTCCTTTAACAACGTCGTGAGTCGTTAAAGAAACTTTAAACCTGCTTGGACATAAGCCCTTTGGGGGGGTTGCTGTTTATTCTCCTTTCTGAAGCTAATCTGTATTTTTTCTTTAAACTTCTCATATATTTCTTGCTTTTAGTGCATTTACGTTTTGTTAGAAATTTGTGGTAGGTTAATTCAGATACACTAGAACTTCCAAACCCAATGTCGGTTCTGGAAACGGTGGAAAATGCTGTTTAAAGAACAAAGCAGCCCTGCCCCCTACACCACTACCACCACCCCCAAAATAAAAGAAAAAAAACCAAAACCCAAGAGAAACTCATTACATTTATAATGTTTCTAAAGTGTCTGGAAGGAACTGCTCTGGTTCCTAATGTTGCTAACAATCCTGTTTAATTTAACCCATCTGCTCGCTCAGCCCGTGTGCACAGTTGGAGCGTGCAGTAACCGGCATTGTGTTTGATTGAAAGAGAAGCGTAAAGTAGAGAGGGGCGTAGCAAGTTTTAAGTTGCAAACCAAATAGGTAAGACCCTTTTTTCTGGGGTGCTTAGTTTTGGAGTGGCTGAGATGCAGGCGTGAGAAATGCCTGGGTTAGGTGTCCTGGTGGGATCAGGGCAAGGAGTCAGGCACCTCCAGAGAGTCCTCCAGAAATCTGCATGCTGAGTGGGATGAAGAAGCTGATGGGAAACGCTAATTACCAGTGTGTATTGAGGTCCTGCCCTTCCTCGGAGCTTAGGCTTGGGCTGTCCTCAGGCTTTTGTGGAGAGTTTGGGGTGGAGGAGGAAATCGATGGTTGCGTTGTGTAATGGCCCAGCAGGCAGCTGTGCAACAGGACATGGGCTTCAATCCCTCCGTGGTCCCACAGCATCTCCTTCCTGGGAGATCTCCCTGACGGGAGAGCACAGGCTCTCTCCTGGGTGGGAGAAAGAGGGCTGTGGCCAGAAGAGAGAGTAGAGAAGAGTAGCGGTGGGGTAAGGACTTGGCTTCGTTACCCCAGATTAGAGGATGAGTGAAATGCTGCTGGTAGATGTGACCCTAGGCTGTCAGTGGATTAGAAGAACAAAACTAACCCAGAGCCCACGACCAACTCGGTTCAGACACGGGTTACCAAGGAGGCTTCATTTCTGGGAACGGTTTAAACATTTCACCTGCTAGCCTGGATGTTGCCAGATGCAGAGATTTACCGGCTCCATCCACGCTCAGTGAGAGGATGAGCAGTCTGGATGCCAGAGCTGCCAGGGTGATTATCAGAATAAATATAAAAGAAAAAGCAGCTGGAGCATCTATGGCTGGGTGTTGCACAGTCTTTGCCATGCTTTTGTAACACCTAAAAAGAAAAAAGCAGGTTTGAAATTTTTTTATTATTATTTTTAATTTTTTCATTAAAGATTCTGGCCACCTACTGAGTGTGATTTGGAGGGAGCGTTGCGGTCAAGCATAACTGCTGTAACGGTAGCATCTTATTGTTGTTCTGCTGTAAATTTAGAAACTGGGTCTGATTTTTGCTTTGCCAGGAAAACAAAAATCTTCCCTTCTGTATGGGTTTCATGGCTTTGATTGAAGAGCAGCTCCCAGTTTCTGATGAATTATGTATGGTCCTTGCGATGGTCTAGAGAAAAGCGCAGATTTTTCATCCCACTACAGGTTTTTCTGGCCTTGGTCTGTTGCTAGATTGACCAAGGTGAGAACAGCACTGCAAAACGCCACAGAGGGGTAGCCAGCATTCCAGAGTTCAGCGCAGTTTCCTCAAGGGACTGGGTTTCGGTATTACTCCGTACCCATTTTTAAGGTGCGGAACACGTGCGTGTACTTCTGTATCTTAAAAATGGATATGGAGCAATACGACGCGAGGAAGAAGCCTATTTCTCAGCGTAATCTCCTTCAGCTGCCTACTGGTTGCAATGCATCAGAGGTAAATGAAAGCAAATTTAACCCTGCCTTCCTTGCTGTCGCATGTAAAGCAGAGCACGCAGGAGGCTGGAGAAGTCAAGAGTTTCCACCATGGTGGTAACGAAGGTGGAGAAGCAATCGCCGTGTAAGGCAGCGCGGCAAACGGCAGCTTGTGCCTAGAGCATGGATTAAAGCCAAGGAGACAAACAATGCGCAAGTCTTTTATTCCAGATCAGACATTTCAGCAAATATTACAGCTTAACTTCAAAACAAACCTGGCAACTAATGAGGTGATAGCCGTGCATATTAATAAACCCGAAGCTGTAGTCGTAGTCATCGCACCCACATCAAACGTAAACATAAGATTAACACCTACACCACTTCTTTGGAAGATGTGAGAACGTCCCAATGATAAGTGTGCTCTTTTCCCCAGAGGATAAGAAGTAGAAATGGAAGGGTAATGAGAAATTAACTTAGATTTAAAACAGAATTAGCAATTAAACAAGTCCAATCATGTACAAAGTCAAAGTTTGTATAAAGACAAACTGAAATCTGTTAAGTTCAAGAATAAGTATAGACCATACGCATTTTATCTGGTACGGTTTTCTCGGTTCACGCCTCCTTATTAAAAGAAATGGATGACATAAATGTTACCCGCTTGTGTTTAATCGTACTGGTTGTGTGCCTGGCTGCGTACTGGGGGCCAGCGCGTGTTGCACAGTTTGGGGACCTTGGTTTCCGACTCGGTTTTGGATCTGCGTCGGCGTTTTTGGAAGCGTTTTCTGGTTTGTGATGGGCAGAGGGGTGCTGGTGGGTGGGGACGGGCACTGGTGCAACACGGACGATGCGTGTTCCCGTCTTCTCAGCGGGAACCGTCGTTTGCTGAGGATTTCACCAAAGACGGCCGAGAGCAGCGTATTTGACTTCTTTTTTTTTTTTCTTTCCCCCTCTACTTTTTTAGCTTTGTGAGAATTAATGAGCATTAGTGCCAGTATAACGAAGCACAAATGAAAATACCAGGACGCACACGTTGCGTGTGCACATCTGCATGCAGACTTGTGTTTATATGTGTGTAGCTAAAGGCGTACATGCGCGCTCATGGCTCGTTTAAAAAAAAAAAATATAATCCTGGCCTCTGAAAAAACGTGCTGAGGTCGCTATGGCAAGAAAATATTTTCATTCTTCCAGCAGCTTCACTTTGTTAACAGTAATGTTCCGTGCGCTGTCTGCAGCTAAAATTGTGCTTTTGTATCTCGTGTCTCCCTTGAACCTGGCGTATCGTGGGTTATTAATCTGTTTGCTTTTCAATAAAACGAGATGACAGAAATGTTTGGTGTTCAAAAAGCTGAAGCTCTGACAGTTCTGTTTACTGGTAAGTAAGAGCTTGGAGGTCCCATTTATTTGCGGAGAGGTGAAACGACTTAGGCAGATACATCATAAGGAGGACTTGTTCATCCTCTATAATGATGCTTCATAGAAATCATTTGTATTAAGCAAGCACTGGTAATGGGAGCATAATGACCCCTCTTGGCTCTTGTTTAAATTCTTTCACTTCTAAACAGTAATATTAATCACAAGCAGATGGTGCAGAACATTATTTATGCACATTTGTTTTCCAAAACAACAACAAAAAAAAAATGTTTAACCCATTAACTGAAGCAGTTTATGAAACAAAAAGGCTAATTTACTGATCGGGTGATTTTTCTCCCCACTTTTGATAGGAGATGTTTTGTGATTTTCGTCCAGGACTGTCACTTCCTTTTCTTTTTTCTTGAGGAAATCAACGCCCCCGTTGGAATTCATAGCAAATATTTGCTGAAATCCCCCGTTTGCGGCGCTATTTAAATCCTGCTGCAAGGACATTTATGAAACAAAAAGGCTAATTTACTGATCGGGTGATTTTTCTCCCCACTTTTGATAGGAGATGTTTTGTGATTTTCGTCCAGGACTGTCACTTCCTTTTCTTTTTTCTTGAGGAAATCAACGCCCCCGTTGGAATTCATAGCAAATATTTGCTGAAATCCCCCGTTTGCGGCGCTATTTAAATCCTGCTGCAAGGACAGGCAGTATTTGTTCTTAGCAGTGCTTGTTTGGCTGCGGCTCGCTCGGGGGCCCCCCCAGCCTGCATTGGCTTCCCCTCCCCAAGGGGCTGGGCGCTTTTTTCCTTTTTTTTTTTTTTTTTTTTTTTTTTTTAGATCTGTTTGTGGAAGGATTTCAGGATCAAGCAATGCTTAATGAATGACAGATGGTTTGGGGGTTTTTTTCAATTATATCGCCTTACTGTCACATCCCGCTTGGTAGCAGGGAAGGGGAGATGGGGTCTGCAGCCCCCCAGTGACGCGCGGTGATGGCTGGATAGAGCCTTGGCTCTTCCCTGCTGGGACAGGGGATAGATGGGGCACGGTGGTTCCCTCTGGTGGGTCGTGTTAAGGGAACAAGGACTTGTGGGCTACACTTGGAAACCATAGAATCATAGAATGTTTTGGGTTGGAAGGGACCCCTAGAGGTCATCTAGTCCAGCCCCCCAGCAGTGAGCAGGGACACCGCTAACCAGATCAGGTTCCTCAGAGCCCCGTCCAACCTGGCCTTGAATGTTTCCAGGGATCCTGCCCCTTCCTCTGAACTCGTGGCATGGTTGAGTCCTTACAGAAAGGAAATTTGGCTATGTGCATGTTGCCTCATCATCACTTTCCCTGAGGTCGTGGTGTTTCACGCTTGGAGCTTCCTTCTGCCTTCCCAAGACCCTTCACTCTACTCGGAGCAGAAGGATTTTTGCATTGTTGAAAAAATAATCCGGTTGATCCAGGCTTGATCCCGTGAACCTATTCTCATCTGTACTGCACCAAAATGTTTCTCTTGTTCATTTGGTTATTAACTGGTTTTATTACATCCTTTACAATTAAAAGCAAGGGTCACTTGTTGGGCTGCAGTTCTCTTTCAAAAGCGTTAGCGCTGTAAGGAGCTGGATGCGCGGTGCGGCATGTCGGCATTTTCGGTACGTGCAATCGCATCTGGCGTTTGTGGCCGTTCAACACGAGCCTAGGACCGAGGTGGCTCCGGTGGCTGCCATATTTTTAGAAAGAAGGTTAAACAGGATTACCGGTGCAACTCGCCGTTCTGCTCGGGATTCAGGATCGAGCCCGCTGATGTACTCGGCGTGTCTTGTTAGATTTAGCAAAGTCCCTCGACGCCGGAGAGGAGCGTGCCGCTTAGCGGGTTGCCCCGGGCAAATATTTGAGTCTCCCTGAGGTTTTAGTTCGAAAACATATTCCTAAAATGCTGTTAGGAAGGGTCCGAGAGATTTTGTGACTGCGTGGATTGCTCTGCAGTGGCGTTCTGTCCCATCACCTGAGGCGGGGGAAGAGGTAAAAACCCATCAAAAATGCAGCACGTGGATTGAATTCCTAAAGGTGAAACGGAGATGGGGATGCACAAATGGAGCCTGGCAGCGCTGTAACGCGATGAAGACGTGGGAGAAAATTGCAAAACGTACTGGCAGTATTAATACCTAACGTAAGCCACACAGATCTGCTTAAGCTATGTAACGTGCTATTGAATGCTCCCCTTTTTTAAACTGGATTTTTAGCTCAAATATAGGAAAGCATTTAATCAGCTTGTTAATTGAGGTTATACATTTCTACATTACAGAGACAAATTAAGCCAGCTACTGTGGTACCAGAAAACATCTGCTAAACAAAGGCAAACTTAATGATAAACAAAATTAGGTTCTTTCCTAGTTGGGTTTCATCCATCTGCACCCAACTAGTGTTCACTTTTAAAGAAGGCAGAGCTACAAGCTATTGCTTTTAATCCATTTTGACAGAAGAAAGCAGTGATTAGGCAAAGCCACTGTGCTCTAATCTTCCCAAGTTTAAGCCAGGCCATAATGCACACGTTATGCTTTCCGACTGGCATCCCTGGAACAGAAAGATGCTCAACCACAGCCAGGCTGGGCGTTCAGCACTTCATTCACCCGTCGATTTTGCAGTATGCAACCGAAGCGTACCAACTTCTTTTGGCATCAGAGGGGGGCCAGCATTAAAATCTTTACGCTGACAATCTGGCTTTACAATATACATTGGTGTTTTATTTGCTGGAGCAGGATTAGCAATCATTTTAAGGCATTGCTGGCAGTTAACCTCTGTAAAAGCTCTGAAACACTGAGGTCGGAGCCGTTCTGTGCGCTGGAAGCCAGGGAGGTGAAAGCCTACTGCCTGTGTTCCTGCGTGCAGGTGTTTGTATGGGATGCTTTGTATTTCTGATTTTTATGGAATGTTAAATTCTGCTCTTGTCCCTACGTGGAATTAAGTGCGGGTGGTGGGAGAAGAGGGAGGCAGGGTTAATTGCAGTGTTAGAATACAAAGTCGCAGGGCTGGGGTAGCCCTGTTATCCCCTGATGCTAAACCAGGCTTCCCCCTTTGCACCCTTGCTTTTGGCTTGTTCCGAAATTGTCCAGCGGCAGAGTTTGTTCCCTCTCTGTCTTTTCCACTCCATGCCGTAATCTGCAGATCCTTTTTTGCAGACCTGCTCCAGCCTACACTCTGGGCAGTTGTTTAATCCTACATTTATGCAGTTGATTAATCCCAGTCTAAATGTAGCGCTTCCACTTGTGCCTATTGAATTTCATCTTGCTTTTTCAGTCTGATTTTTCCAATTTGTCAAGATCACTTTGAATTCTAGGTCCCATCTCTCGGTGCGCTTGCCATCCCTCCCAGATTGGTGTCGCCTGCAGAGTTGGAGTCGATGACCTTAAGGCTCTTTTCCAAATGTGAAGGATCCTATGGTTTAATAACATGGATTAGCTGTATTTGAGAGGTGCAGATACAACGTCGTCTGTGCTACTGACTGTTACAAACCAGAGCTTGCATCTGAAATACATCCTGGAAATCTTTCCTGTTGAAAAGGGACGTGGTTTAGTGGTGGGATGGCAGGGTTAGGGTGATGATTGGACCTTAAAGGTCTTTTCCGACCTAAACGATTCTATGATTCTTCTATGAAACCCATCCCGCCAACATTCGTAACGATCTCTGCATGTACAACGGCGTGTCTGGGGTAACGTGGATTAAACCCAGTTTTGTTCCCTCAACAGATGTGAAGCCCTCTAATATGTTGGTGAACACGCGAGGCCAGGTGAAGCTGTGCGACTTTGGGGTTAGCACGCAGGTAATCCCCCCCTTCGGCTATCTGCCCGCGCGCTTTCCGGCGTCGGAGTCACCTGGCTGCCAGACAGCCCCACCGCAAGCTCCCCTCTGCTGGGACAGCCCTATTCATTTTTAATCTCTGGGCGACTTTTCTTCATCTGAATATGATTGTTCATTGTTTAATGACAGTAAAAACTGCTGATATTGTAATTACTACTTACGAATAGCAAACTTCATTGATATGCAGCTTCGATATGAAAGCGTTTTGGCCAGACAAAAGGGAGGGCAGAACGAGAGACGTGTCTGGGGAGCCCAACTGGCCCACAATAAAAATTAATATTGGGAGTAACAATAGTGGTGGGCTTTTACAATGCGCAGCACCAATTTTAATTAATTTCCATTTTGGGCCTCCCTGGAGAACTTCTCTGATAGTGACCCGTGAGCTCGCTGCGATGTTGATTTGAATTTCAGCACCTTTACTCTCAGCCAAACACGAGGACCAAAGAGAAGGTCAGCCTGGTATTATAAGTTGTCAGAGTCTGTTGTCCCTCCAGCGTATTTAGTGCTCGCTGCATTCAAGTGATGAATGTGGCTTTATTCACATCTTGAGCCAGCTGACTGAAAAATGAGCGCGTTCAATCCTACTTCAAATTGACTTTTTATATCAGACTAGTTTGGGGTACTAAAGCGATAAGCATCCTGTTTAACAGAATTGTTTAAGGTTATCTGCCATAAACTGTAATGCAGTGCTTGTTTAAATTGGAACTCTCATTCCGAACAAAAGAGAGATTTAATCATTTTTAATGCCTTTGCAGATAAATTTGTTCCCTTTTACATAATTTTTAGTTGATTTATAGGAATGATGATTGTAGGTTAAATGAGGAATAATTGCCCATTTTATTTCCACATTATCTTTATATTGTTCTAACAGACTGTTTTGTCTGATAGCTGGTGAATTCTATAGCCAAGACGTATGTTGGAACAAATGCTTATATGGCGGTAAGTGGATTTATGCAGGAATAACATTTAAATAGAAGTATTTGTTAACAGTCTCACTCTGCGTAATGCGGGGTATGCTCTACATCAATCCTCAAACTTCATCTCTCCCCATCAGAAGCTGTGTCTGAATCGCATGTGCCACGAAACAGCTCCCCTTGGCTCTCGCAGACCCCCTCCCTCCTTACCCGTGCCCTCACCGACCAGCTCTGCGACAACGGCACCTCTTCCCCGTATGGAAGAGTAATATTGGCAAAGCGTTTCTTTCATGTGTTCTTACTTGTCTTTAATGCATTGTAACAGCTGGGAACAAAGAGGAGAGCCAGTTGAACAGAAAAAAAAGCAGCTTTCCACGGACAAGCCTGCAGCTCCTTGCGGAGCGCTGAGGGTCCACCGCCGCCCCCCGTTTGGGAACCGCTGCTCCGAGCCTGCAGTGGAGCGGAGCGTTTAGCCCTGTGCAGGCGTCCCGTGGACTTCTTGGTACCCGAGCGCCTGTGTGGGCATTTCCCATGTGAAGCTGCCTTGGAAAACTTGAAGCTAAAAATATTTGGAGTAATAATATTAGGGCATTAAATTGCCAGCCGTGTAACGTTCGTACCATACATATCAAGGCACCGGTACCTTTCGCTTTTGCATCTAAATTTCGTTCAGAACGCTTGTTATGAGGAGGCTACTTTTGTCCTTGTTCTGTAGGATAAAACAGAAATTCCCATCATTTTTAGCGCAAAGTAAAGCATCGCTGAAGACGTAGCGTTTGGAGGAGCGCTGCGGCTGTTAGCGAGGGCGTGAGGTTTGGGTTTAGCAGTTGGAGCTGACCCCACCGCCTGCGCCCGGTGGCCGGGTCTTTGAGATTCGTACGGTGACGAGAGCCGGGCTGAAAGTAAACTCCCAAAGTCAGCGTGTATTTTCCATTAGACCATTTTGATTCATTTTAGTTCTCCCGTTAACAGATGTTGAAAACTTAAAAGCTTCAGGTTAGAGCAGCGTGTTAACCGTTGTCTTTTACCTTTGGCTGTTAAAATTCTGTTGGCAAACTGCCTATGTCGTAATATTAATGAGGAAAAAATAAGTGTTCAGGTTGTTTAAAAAAAAAAAAAAATACAAAGTGGTTGATAGTTGTATTTTTCAAACCTCGGAAAAGAGGAGAGAGAAATCCATGACCTTTAATCGCTTTCAGGTGTTTTTTCTTACTTTCTTATAGGAAGAAAGCAGACCAGGGTGTCCATTTATTTGCTAAGTGCTTTTCTAGTCAAGGTGTACTCATTATGTAGCTTCTGAAACGCTCATGTCACCATCCTAGAAAGACTCGGGCTGTCCTGTGTCATCAGAATATTATGTGCAGAAAAGTGTTTTAAAAAAAAAAAAAAAAGAAAAGAGAGAGGAAAAAAAAAAAGAAAAGAGAGGGGGGGAAAGAAAAAAGAGAAAAAAACAATCCGGTTGCCTATATGACCACTTTTGCTAGTAAGAAAAAAAAAAAAAAAAAAAAAGAAAAGAGGGGGGGGGGAAGAAAAAAGAGAAAAAAACCAATCCGGTTGCCTATGTGACCACTTTTGCTAGTAATCCTGCTGATTCCTGTGCCTCCATTTTCTAAGAGAACTAGAATATAGCGATTCAAACAAATAAACAGCTTCAAATTAATCAACTTTTCCAACTCGCCCGTTACTCTTAGAGTGGTCTTAAGCGGGTCTGAGAATTAAATTGTATTACACTTCTAGCGTACAAATCAAGATTACTGCTCTCTTTCCCAGGTGTACATTAAATAAATTACTTTTTTTTTTCTTATTGTTTATGGATGAATGTGATGCATTCATCTATGAATTGAAAAAGAGAAGCTTAAGCTAAACCGTACTTGATCTGATTTCTGGTGTTAAAATTGTTTTGCTTGCTGAATGAGTCGTTTGTCGTCATCAAATTATAGTCCAGTCATCAAAAAATAATGAAGGTCATAAGCTTTGGTTTGTCTGCCTACTTGGCAGACTGTGAGTAAATTTGAAACCATTAAAAAAAATGGAGGGTTCCATTTAAAGTGAACAAGCAAAACAGCTTCCTGATAGAGAAATTAAAATTTCCAACAAGAATACATTTTCTGTAAAATCATTTTATTACCACTTTACACAGAAAAACGTTCTGGATGAACAAAGTCATTTGGGGGCTGCGTATCCTTAGGATGACCTCTGTGTTGCGCGCTTCACTTTATGCATGTGTTACTCTTATTTTCATCTTCCTTTCCATACCTCTTGTATTCACGTCACTAGATTTCTTGTTTAAATCTGCGACTGATTTACTTGCCGCTATCTTCTGCGAATGCATACGTCCTAAATATAAGTTGCTGTTGAAAACTTGAGCTGTTACAAGGGAAGAGTAAACCATTTAATATTGCTCGGTGTGGATTCTGCGCCTGCTTTGGCGGCTCAGGACAGGCCAGTCTGCCCGCGGAAGAGCTGCGAGTGGCGTCGCTCCCCCCGGGGTTCCGTGTCTGCCGGTAACGACACCCGCTCAGCCGGGATGGCCGATGCCATGTTGTGGAGGGATGGCAGGGTTAGGTTAACGGTTGGACTTGATGATCTTAAAGGTCTTTTCCAACCTAGACAATTCTATGATTTGATGTTACGTTACCGAGGCAGAGGTGCCTGTTGGCGTACATTTTTGGCTGCGAATCTGCAGCTGGATGAGGCTCTTCATCAGTATAAAAGGATGCTTAAAAAACGTATCCGTATACGATGCTGTGGCAAACATTTTTAAGATGTGCTGACCTAGGTTGGCGGTACTTAATGAAGGCTTGCCTTAATAAACTTTAAAAAAAAAAAGAAAAAAAAAAAATCCCTCAGATTTTTGGGTCACCGTTCAGCTCAAAATAAACGAGGCTCAGTCAAAAAGGTTTTGTTCCAGTTACATTCTGGGGTGGTTTTTTAGGTTATGGCAGCTGTGGAAGGCAAGGCTATCCTTAACGATATTGCGGGCAGCACTCGGTTTTTTACTTAACATTCATGCCGCGATAAAAGCTCTTGACCTGGGATTAGCAGTGCAGAGTAAACATCCAAAAACACATTGGACTGGCACTAATTTGGGAGTTTGTTTTCTAAAAAAGGTCTCTGGATTATTAAAGACTAAAAATACAGCCAGTGCTTCGTAGGTGGCTGGGCTAGACAGGTGCATTAACAGCACAGTGGGGAGAGAAGTCTCATGGAGCCTTTTATTGTTACATTTCATGCTGTACTTGACCTTGGAAATGCTTAAATTGTAGCTTTCAAGTAAAAACTAGCAGTTATATTTTACAGCATTCTATTTCATGAGGCATTAAACTTGCTATTAATAGTTTTGAGCGAAGTCTTTTTTTTTTTTTTTCTGTAGGTCAAAAATGAAATTAAAGAGTATATAAAATAAAAACGCTGGCATGTGACTTCATTGATTCTTTTGGCTTCAATAACTTTGCTTTTTAAACCATAGTTACTTCCCAACCCCTTGACTCAACATCAGGCATCTGTTTTCCTGGCGTACCTTGCCGTAGTGCCTGGGCTTAGCAATGGATGTGTGCACCCTTGGACTCGCACAACTTGACCTTGCGCTTTGCACGTGTGCAAGCCATTGGCTTTTTTGTTGGATAAAACCGCCCAAACACAAATGCCAAGGCCAACCTTACAAAGTGCATAGCAATGCATGGCGACATGTCTGAGCATAACGGAGTCCTTTGCTCTTGGAAGGGGAGACAAAAATAAACAAATAAGTTGCGTTTGAAGGGTGGATCTGCTCTCTGCCAGGTTAGCTGGTGAGCTTTAAGCTTCTTTGCGTTTTCTCTGCTGATTTGCTTGCCTTGGGCTAACTTTGGTGGAATAAGTGACGTCTGTTTGTTTGCTAGGCTCAAGAAGATGTTTCTTTCCATCTCTTTGCAGCCTGAGCGGATTTCAGGAGAACAGTACGGAATTCATTCGGACGTTTGGAGTCTGGGGATTTCCTTCATGGAGGTATGCAAATATCTATCATATTCGCCTGCCTATTGCAAGAATCAAATGAAATCATAACATCAAATTATCTTACTATGGTTTTTGCATACTCTTTTCTACTATTTTAACTATTGCTAAAGATCTTGGCTGTATTTAGAATGGGTTTGTTCTTACCACGTTCAATTCGGTGAGGTATAAAGAGCCTCTGCCCAAACCACGTAACAGTCTTAAGCCCTCCATTAAAACCCCATAGGGAGAGTAAGAAACAGGGCCTGGTGCATGGATGCCTCTGCATCCTTTCAACACCTCTGGGATCGGAGATGACAGTATTTCTGTATTGCATCCTCGCGGGCCAGGACAGAGTGGGGCTGTCATTAGGGTTAAAATAGCGTTACGCCGATTCAAGGCTTGAGCTGGTTAATGGCCTTGCAAAATCCTTGCAGAAATATTTGCAGGATGGTATGAGTCTCTCCCTGCGTGGTTAAATTAAAGTGTTTGAATTTAAGTGTTCACAAGGGCTTTTAGAAAGATTTCTCACAAACATAGTTTCAAGCAGGAGAAAGTCTTACCGAAATGAAGCAGTTGGAAGAGAATGTGGCCGTAAGGGCAGTCATTCAGGAGAACCCAGTGCTACCTGTGGGCTTGGAACGAGGTCAGTTTTGATTCAGGAAAAAGGTTGGGTTTTTTCAGCTTAGGGTTCATCAGATGGTTTAAGAAACATAAATTTCAATGCCTTTATAAAAACAGGTGATCGTTCATAGGAAAGATAACCTCAAGTGTGTAAGTAAGTTGAGTAGAAATACCTGTGTTACGATAGCATCTTGACCAGTAAAATCGGATGTGGCTTGGTCTGGTCTGGGAGAAGGGACAGGTAACTCTGGTCTGGTGGTGTTCACCGTAGACTTTTTCGCGCTGGCCTTGGCTGGCCACAAACAAGCCAGGTACAGCTGGAAACCCTTGTAGCCTTGACAGCTTGAGCAATAAGCTCTCAGGAGAGTTTTTCAACTCAAGGACAGTCCCATGAAAGAACTTCCCCCTGCTTGGAGCCGTTGTTTCTTCCTTTAACAACAGTTCATTCAAGCCATCGATGACTTGCATCATCTTTCTTGCGCAGCCTGACAAAGGCGCGATAAGATTAAGTGAAAAATAAGAGATGCCCTTCCCTTCTGTTCTGGTAGAATTTAGTATCATCGAGGTGAAGGTGAATATCCCTTTCAGTGAAGTGCAACTGCTGGTTTTAGCAGAAGACTAGATAGAAGTTAAGTAGTCTTGGTGCTGGCCCTCTGCATCTAGGCAAATTTCACATCTTGTAGCCTGAAAGTTAACCAAGACTAGCGTTAGGTTTTCAAACAATAAATTCCTTGCTGAATCAGTTTTAACCAAAATGAAAATGCTTAATGCTGAATCATTGCATTCAGATCTTGTGAATCTTTTCCAGGGTCTGAAGTGAACTCTGAGTTACAATGATGACAAACTTTAACGTGGCATGGGGGATGCAGTGATTTGTTTTACTGCACATTTTAATGGTTTGTGATAATGGAGAGCCCTCACAATTTGGGGAGAGACGCAGAACATATGCACTCTGTAAATAAATCCAGCCCACAAAAGGCTACAATGAGATTGTGTTACGTTAGGACTTGACGGTGGCGTTCTCCCTCATTTCACGGCAGAACAGAGTGCTAGAAATGCAGAATTCCTGTAGTGCAAGCATTTACCGGTTCCTTTGCTGAATATAAGATGCATTTTGAAGTGCAGCAGCAGTTTAAGATGATTTACCACGTAGACCAAGGCACTTGGAATTTGGTTTAGGATTAATGGGCTGAAGTTGCGCCAGGGCAGGTTTAGGACGTTAGGAAATATTTTGTCAATGAAAGGGCTGTCAAGCACTGGAAGGGGCTGCCCAGGGAAGGGGTCGAGTCCCCAGCCCTGGGGGGATTTAACAGCCGGGCAGAGGCGGTGCTGAGGGCCAGGGTTTGGGGGGGGGATGGCAGGGGTAGGGGAAGGGTTGGGCTTGATGATCCTAAAGGGCTCTCCCAACCTAAACGATTCTTTAATACAGTTCTATTCTATAATGATTACCAGTAGGTCATGAAGTTGATTTGGAGGATGAATTCCACATTATATTAGCCAACATTAGGAAAACTACTTTCATTTGCATTTACTCTCCTCTTTTAAACCTTCTCGACTTCTTTTTTTTAACTCTCTCACTTCCCACGAAGGTCTTCTGAACCAGAAGTACAAAAACCAATTTGGTTCTGTGCGCTTTGTTAATTGGTATGTCATGCGGTCCTCGGAGACCTCTCTTCAACATGATCGCTGTTTTATTGAAGTGGTTTGAGTGATGTGTTAAATGATGAAAGCAAGGACAGTGGCTTAGAAAAAAATGTCTCAAAAAAGGTGAGGAAGATGCTCAAAGAGCCACGCAAGGTCACTGTCATTAAAGTAACACTGTATTGACATGGGGATTGGTAGTGGAGACACCCAGGCTCTTGTTGATGGAACTCTTAAAAAAGGGAAGTTTGCATTTGCTGTAAGATTTTAAAATCGCCTCCGCTTAGTGGTGTAGTACTCCAATCCCTACAGCTTCAAGCCAGCACGGTTGTAGCACGTTAATTTAAAAGAAAGGGCACGTGGGACCAGGTTTGCGAGGGCTGTTCTGACATATGCTAATATAAAATAGCAGCTGAGTAAATCTTCTCATTTTCTTTAATATTCTTCTGAGCCTTTAAAATGTCTTGAATTTCTTTGCTGCAAAGCTATACATAATGAGAAACTGAGCAGTTACTTTTAGGAAAACTGCCCCAAAAAACTTGCTGGCAGAGGGTGAAAAGTATTAGATGTGGGTACCACCTAAGTTTTGAGAGATGGTGAGCATTCTTGTTCCTTTTGAACTAAGAGGCGCCAGAGGGTGCTCAGTCGTCCCTTTGCCAAAAATAAAAAATAAATTAAAAATTAAAAAAAAGAAAGAAAAAGAAGAAATGCCTCTAGCTTTATTTATTATTATTCTTTCTTTTTTTTTTTTTTTGGAGTTTACATGTCTGTCTGCAGGATTTTTTTTAAGTGAATTAAATTTAATACATAATCTGTAAAACTGTTTAAAAGTTTCATCACCAATAGTTTGTGCGCTTTCATGAGGGTTTTAGATGTTTTATTTAAGTGCTCTTGGGTTGACAAAGCAAGTTCCATTTAAACCAATGACATTGCTGTCGCTATGTTGAAGGCTCTGTCAGCATTTTCCTTATAAAAGCTGTTTTTCAGGGGTTTATAACTCAGTCATAAAACACACTCCAGGCTGACTGGGCTGAGCCTGAGTGCTCTTTGCATTCCGTAACCGATGCCGTCTCCCTCCCAGAACCATGCTCTGCACAGGAGGATAAATTAGATTGCCCAATATTTCTTGTTGCTCGCCAATATGACTCTAATCCTACCTTGCACAGTCGCTATCCGAAAGTGAACTTCAGAGCATCCAAAATGGGATAAAATACAGCTGGCTGGTTTTTGACAGGCAACCGTTCTTGTCCGGTGGTGCCTTTTTGTGGAGATGTTTGCTGTTACCTTCAGCTGAGCCACTTCTTCTGGGATAAGAGGCTGCTGTATGAGACAAGAAGCTGGGTGAGAAGAGCTTTGGTGGGACTCTGTAGGGCTGGTGTGTTCTCAGGTCCTCCTGCTTCCACAGGGGGTTGGTTGCTTCTTGATCTTCTCCTGGCTTTTACCTTCTCAAAGCTGCCTGCTGAGGAGTGCTGGCATGCTCTCGAAACAATACTGAGGACCAGAGTCTACTACGTGTCATGATGGTAGGTGAGGAGAAGGGAGTTTGGGGAACAGAATAGAATCAAGTTGTGATCCGAGTTGTTCATTGAGGCAAAGTATAGGCTTGCAGATCTTTGCCAGAAGATCCAGGGCTCATTTTATCTACAGATAGAATTCACAGAATCATAGAATCATCAAGGTTGGAACAGGCCTGCAAGGTTGTCAAGTCCAACCGTCAACCCAACACCCCCATGCCTACTAAACCATGTCCCAAAGTACCATGTCTACATGTTTTTTGAACACCTCCAAGGATGGTGACTCCATCACCTCTCTGGGCAGCCCATTCCAATCCTTGACCACTCTTCCAGTAAAGAATTTTTTCCTAATATCCAGTCTAAACCTGCCCTGGCGCAACTTGAGGCCATTTCCTCTTGTCCTGTCGCTTGTTAGTTGGGAGAAGAGACCAACACCCCCTTGGATCCCCCCTCCTGTCAGGTAGCTGTAGGGAGCGATAAGGTCTCCCCTGACCCTCCTCTTCTCCATTGGTACTGTATTATATTGAAATGCAGGAAATGAAAGTGATTTGCTTATGCCACAAACCGAGTAAGTTTTGGAAGTAGAATATGAGCTCGTGTGCTTGGCTGAGAACTTTTTGCACCTCCTTTTGTATCGCATCCTAGCCTCTACTTCCCGCTGTCCCCTGCTGAGAAAAACAGCTACTTCCGTGTGTTTCCTTTTAAAATGAACTTGCCTTGCAAAGATTATCAGTGTTCTCTCCTTCCGGGATAAGGAGTTTGTGTATCAGTTTTATGTTAGAAACAAGTTCTTAAGACTCCCCAAAAGAGAATGTTGTGTACCAGAGTTCTCCGTTACCTGTGTATTTGCAAGAGCTTTCAAGGGTTGCTGGTTGGTTGTGACATTTGCGTTAAGATGCCGTTTTAAGCAATATTCCAAGCAGTCGTATGACGGATTTTCAGCAGCTGTGTGCTTTCCCGCATACAGGAACACCAGCATATATCCAACAAACATGCCTTACCTCACGTATTTCAGGCACACAGGCGTATCTTCTGAGCGGGGTTAACACTGAACACGTGCAACGTCAACGTTCTCGGGTCTCAGACTCTTCAGCACGCCTGGGGCTGGGAGCACAGGCGGAGATGTTAGAACAGCTCATTGAGACCATGATGGCAAAGAGGAGGAACATGTTTGAAGAGGGTGCTACAGGAGAGGCAGCTCTGCTTTAAGATGATTCTCTTAAAGCACTTAAATCT